CAAAGGCACAGAAATTTCTCAGCACATGACCCGGTCTCCTCTGATGTCCCAGATGTTTCCTTCTAAGCGGAGGCCCAGCCTGGGCCTATGATCTCCATCGACAGCCTGGTACTAAAGCACTGCATCTCCACTTTGTCTAGTAGAGCTTGGATTGGAATGTCTCTGAGAAGGAAGGCCAAAAAACCTCAAGAAATTTTCTGTTTATATTCAGTAACAAAAGTAAAAGGCACTAGGCCAGAAGATTAACTGAGGAAAGCCCTGCTAGGGAGATGGCTGAAGGAAAGCCCAGGCAGAGAATACAAGCTATGGGTCAGGCAGAAGAGGCCTGCAGGACACGAGGCCCCTGCACCGTGATCTTAGCCCCACTGATACATATTCCACGTTCTCCATGGACTTGGGGTCAAAAGAGGGAGGTCTACAAGTGGTGACACTGTCAAATGTAAAGTGAGCCATAGCACGTCCACACCACATTCACACAACCTCCCAGAGGGAAGAAACCCGAGTGACTGTGCACTGCAACCCCTTCGGCCAGGCTGGGAAGGTAAAGTCATCACTCATCTCAAAGCATCTGGCTCAGAAGCCTGCTTTTTTGAGGTTGTTGGGGGTTAACTGACCTGCTGGGTCCTCAAGAGTGTTGCTGTAGCCCTCACCTCCACAGGCACTTGGCAACAAGACATGTTTGTTTCACAAACACTTACTGAGGTCTTGCTATTTGGAAAGGGCTCCGGACAAAAGCCAGCAGAAATACAGAGCATAGAGAAGATGAGGTTCCTCAAATCACAGTATTAGGGCTGTGGTCTCACCTGAGGCTTAGTATCTTCTTCAAACTCCCTGGCCACTCGCTGCTTCAAGGCCAGCTGGTGACTCTCAGGGAAAGAAGCTGTCTCTTTTGTAAGAGCTCCTGGACTCATTCAGGCACACCCAGGATGCTCTGCTGTTTTATCAACTCCAAGTCAATTGATCAGTGACCTGATTATGAGAGTTGATATCCTATTATATTCAGTGTTTGGGACAAGAGACCATCACACCAGGGGCCAAGAATCTTGAGCTCTTTCTTAGACTCCTGCTACTACAGCTCCTGTCAACTTTACTTTCCAGTCTCTCCTGCCTGCAGGTAAAACTTCTCTGGCAATCAGATGCATTCTTAAAATGTACCTCATGCCATGTGCTTTTCTAGCCAAAGAATATGACAGTCCGCCACTTCTCTAAACAGTGAGTCAAATAGAGATTCACTGGGTAGGGGAAGTCTATACCCAGAGAGCATAAAATTGTTTTTAAAGTCCTATTTATATTTCTTGAAAGTCCTTGAGTCCAAGGACCCTTTGCCAATGACGAGGACTATCCAGGATGGAGCACAGTTGCTGGCGTGGCTGCCCTGGGGACTGAGGATACTGAGTCAGGCAGCTCTCTTTCCTTGGCCACTCAGCACCAGCACTGTTGGTCCCCCGCCCCCACTCATATAGAGGATATGGTGAGCAGAACTGTGCCGCACTGGGGCCAAGTTTTCATTCATCTGTTGTAAAAGACCACATTTTATGGCACAGAAAAGTTGATTTGAGAGTTCTCAAATAGAATGTGCCAATGGCTCCTTGCATGAGATTGAAGTGTGTTTCTGTCATTCAGACCACACTCATGCCAAACACTTTTGCCTGACTTTCAGTCATCTAATACTTAATGAAAAATCTAAGCAATATTATGGAAGACTAAATATAGAAATAACCCATCTGTCAATTGGAATTATTTGTTCATTAATAGTGCCATAGAAATCTTCCACTGATATGAAAAGATTTTTGAAATATATTAAAGAGTCAAGTTCCAAAATAGAATGTCCACTAATCTCTGTTTTGTATTTATGCCCACATATGCCTATAAATATTTTCATGCATATCACACACATATTCATATTGGAAAAAACTCAGAAAGGATAAAATGTTAAAAAGCAAATGCTAAGGAGATTGTGTAATTTTCCTCTTCATTTCCTACTTTTCTTTAGGAGTATTTATTTTGTCTACTCGGAATACTACCCTTTCTTTTAGGGGACTAAATGAAAATGGCTTTAGGACCTTTACCTAGTCACATGATGGACCAGGGATGGGGATGTGACAAGCCAGGCCACAGTCCCCACAAGTGCAGAAAGACTCTCTTGCCTGACTGTAAGGCCTGACTGTAAGCTTGGAGGAGCCTGGCACCTTGGCCCTAGACCTTGCAGAGGTTGGACTGAGGGAAGAAAGCTTTGTGTATGGAGAAGTATGCTTTCCTTCTGGATGGAGGAACAACGCATAGTTGTATGCCCTGAAGTAGGGCTTTACCTAACCACAAAGCAGATGTTTGAGATATGGGGACAATCTAAAGATTGTCTCCCAGATAAGCAGCTGCCCAATGGGCGGAGCACAGGGACATGGATCACTTGGATGTGCAAGTGGACATGCATGCTAAATTGGAAGGTTACAGGGAAACTGTCCTCTTGAGAATGAGAACCAAGTTCAAAGTGGGGAGGAGTTGGGATGGGGACTTTGGCCAGAGGACAGAAGAGTTCCCACCCATTTGTTTTAAATTCCTTTTATCCCCTACTGTTGACAGAGAGAGAAAAGGGTGAAAGTAAGGTCCTAGGGCAGTGACAGTGAAGCTTTTTAGCTTTCAAAGATAAGAAATAGCCTCCCCCCCGCTCTGCCACACACTTGGGTGAGTTCCCACCACTGTCCTACGGAGACAAGGAAACTGCATTCAGCACAAATTTGAGCACTCCCCTGTCAAGGGATGATGGTGCAGATCTGCCCTTTCCTAGGATCTAGGCCTGATGAGGACTCCCCACTCTACACAGTTGGAGACTATTCCTCCGGAGAATCCCAATCTGAAAAATAATGTATTTCCAATAACCTGGGAAACACATGAAACATTTTTCCTTTTAAACATATATTTAAGAGAATATAAAGCACTTAAAATGTGGCTGATACTATGTCAAGCTCTGCGAATGTTGTGACCCAATTCAGTTTTGTGAAAGTACAAGTTTTTCTGATTTATTTCTCAAATGTTTAGTTCAATATAACACCTGTTTTTAATGGCAAAAGTTTGGTTCCACTGAAACTCTGTAACACTACTGCTTTTTCCAGGGGATAGGTAAACAGCTGGAGAGAAGGCTTTCTAGCAGCATAACAACTTAAACCTCATGGATCTGCAACTTTTACACTAAACATGGCACAAACATTTAATAGCCGGTGACGACGTGAGAAATGGGAAACAAGACATGAACACCAAAAGGTGCACTATATATCCTGTAAAGATAGACAAACCAAAAACAATTTGAGGCCAGCCTGGGCTACAGAGTGGGTTCAAGGCTAGCCTATATTACACAGCGAGATTGTGTCAAAATAAGAACAAAAACAAAACAAAATAAAAAAAAATACCTCAAATACTTTTGTCTCCATATTCTGAGATTAATCACCCAAGGAAAAAATCATCTCCAATTTAAGCCAAAATCAGTTCAAGACATTTTGTTACCTCAACTTCCCTGGATCTTGAAGATTGAACATTTTAAAAAATCAGTCTTATAGTTGGTCATTTCAAGGGAAGGGGATTGGATCAAATTTAAAGGTCATTCAAAACAAAGTAACTCTTTGTAAAAAACTTGATTTGCAGCTAACATTTTAGTGTAATGTTAAATGCCATGTCCTAAAATTACTTCTACATCTCTATTTTTTTCCTCCTAAAATATTCACATCACTCTTCTCTTTTTGACCTTTTTTAAGTTCCTGGGTTTGAAGGTGCTATGCATTTTGGTTCAAGAATTCAACATCTGGGTAACAAGTTATGCAGTGAAAACTCCCCAAAGGACAGATCACATGTATGAGCTTTTCTAGCATTTAAACACTAATGTGTTTCACAGTCTATGACTGGTCTGCAGTTTCTGCAGGTTCAATCCGGCTCATTCATTTAGTTATTACTCATTTTAATTATTACTCTGGGTGAGTCTGAGCTACCTATGACAAAGACTTCATTTCTTCCTTTATGAACTTCTATTTAAGGTCATTTTATACTTTAAAATACTGGGATTTGCTAAATCAATTATTATACTTTGAAATCCAATAAGCTGAAATGAAGTTTTGACATATTCCCAGAATTCCTAGAAATGCTTAGACTCTCTTTGGAAAAAACAAAAATCCATACTTTAAGGACTGGTATTATTATTTGCTAATGCTGGATTCCTACTACTTGGTTATTGTTATGTTAAATTCTCTGATAAACAATACCAATTTAATGAAATAGATGCAAAGTTATACCAATGGCATATAACTGTCTTTAAATATTAAAACTATAGCTATAGATTTATATGATTGCTTCAGTCATTGTAATTCTTACAGTATAAAAATCACAACACAGCAAAAGCCACTTTTCCTAAGTGTTTTAAAACACACACACACACACACACACACACACATACACACACACACCCAAAATCAGTAATGCTTGAATTGTCAGAATAAGATGTAAGAAAATATATTTATTTTTTTCATGACAATACTATGATAAAATTGTTAAATACATGCACATTTTAAAAACAAACATAAGTAACATCTTTAGAATTAACAGCCAAGCATCTAGTTTTATATTTATGGTGTCATAGTAGTAGGTTACTTATATTCTATGTTTCTGCTATAATCATGTTTTCCAAAAGATATGAAAACTAAATTATGAAATTATGATATAAAATGTCCAAATTTCCCATTCTAACAGCAAAATAATATCCAATTTTTCACAAGGCATAAAACACTTGTCACCCGAATTGTTTCATTCCACAACCCAGAATTCTGAGATCAAGAATGAACCAGAAACACACAGCTACAGTTTAGCTCCTGCATGTGTAGTTAAATGTTTCTTTACAGGATTAAAAATGATTGCAAGTACAGAATAATCAGAACTCATCATGTTAAAAAAATGTCCGATGTGGTAACATTTCAAGAAATTAAAAGGGGGAACAGTTTGGGATCTTCAGTTTCTCTCTGTCTTCTTCACTGATACACACTTGACCAAACAAAAATTAGTAAACGATTACTAATGTTTATAAAAAACTAAAACTATGTAACATAACACCACCATGAAAAAAACATTCAGTCTACAAACCTTAGACAAAAATTTATCTGTTCACAGTATGTGTATTTTGTAAACAGTAATTCACTATAATGCAATTTTAAAGTAAAAAAATGGTAATTTTCTAGTGTTATAAGGACACTGACTTATGACCAACTAATTAAAGAAATTGTAAACTATTTTTACTAGCAACGTTCAATATTTTTAAATGACTTATCTTTGAACATATCTTTAAAGTAGTAATATCTCAAACTTAGGATGTGTTGTCTTTCTTTCTATTCAGGACAATCTTCTACAAGCAAATCTAAACTAAAATGCATTTAAGAAATGGCATGCTCCCTTTAAAGAAAATAACAGGACAAAACCAAGGCATCACAGATACCCATCCCTCCTCAACAGGGAGCTGAACAGGGCCTCTCCCTGTGTCTCCTCAACTACTCATGTCACTACTCACATTTTTCCTACATATTATGTTGGAAGGAAAAATTAAATAGAAGGAACCACCAACTTAAGAAATATTAGAAAAATAGAGGGGAGTATTTGGGTCAAACTGGGGAAAGAACATTTGAAAATAATTTTATGAAAATCATTATTCAATATCCTCTTCTATGATCAACTTCAAAAATACTAATGTCAATCTGTCAACTGTCCATGATTCAATGAGAATTGTTATTACCACTTAGAAATCTTTTGATCTTTTATAATATACCACTGGGATGCTTAGGAGAAATAAGTTCAGAGACTGAAAGTTCCCATTTACAATGGAGTAATTCTATAGTGAAGCACATTTTAAGTTTATGAAGAAATTCATTAAGTGAGCTGTTCAATCAGACATACAATGTATTTTAAGCTTAAGCACTGCATGAAGTCTATATTGTTTTTGTTTTTCTTTTTAAGTTCTGACTGGCTACTATAGAGGCAATCTTAGGCGATATGTATGTAATAGACATCAATTTCCTTATCAATTAGACATTTTTTCCTCATTCACATATTTTTGTTAAGGTATTCAGTTCTATTGAACAAAAAGTAATGTAAGTTATTGCTGTTTTGTACTTGGTTAATGTTCAATCAGCTACGATTTACTAATACAAATGCTTTGAATTTATTGTTTCTATGGTTCTCTAGCTAGGCACTTACACTTGAAAACATTCAGAGAGTTCCTCTCTTGTAACACTACATTTAACTTTTATAAAAATGTAGCAATATTCCTTAGGTAAATTTTGTTCATCACTTGGGCACCTTATAATTAAAAATATTAACATTTATAATACAGGGTAAAACAAGTACTCCTAATTAAAAATAACAGAATCCTGCCATAATTCAATACCATAATTATAAGCACGACAGTGTATTCTATCCCAAATCACATCCCCTGAAACTCTAACATATACAATACAACCTGACAGTCAAGTGAATGTTATTCTCAACTCTATATACTGGCATTAAAAATAGTATGCCTATATTGTAACTAGCATGAACATGCTCATATAAATAAGTTAAGACAAAAGCTGTTTGAAAGGGAGTAAGAATCTAATCAGTGAAATAAGAAGCTTAAACATTTCTAGTCCTAAAGCATATATCCATGGCAATATAAATAAAACCAAATTTAAACAAGTGACTTCCAATGATATTCTAAGATGTTTAGAAAATGAATGTCCTCTAAGTTTGGCTACAATCATTTTCTTCTGCAAAAAATTTTTCTTCTGGACATGAGAGAAGTATGACACCAAGAAACTTTAACCAAAATCATAGTTTAAAAGAAATGTTTTGAAGACATATTCTATCAAGAGAATGAGTTCTTATATTAATCAGTTAAGCTCAAATACACCATATTGTCTATTTGCCAGAAAGCATGCTGGGTTGGTACAAGCAGGTACCAAATTGTGTAACTGTCAGACAAAATTAGGAAGAAATAAGATATCTAGTCATATGGATGCACATTTTTCCCTAAGTTTTCACTCAAACTGTGGAGACACTTCTTTGAGGCAATAGTTTCAGATCTATACAAGATAGACTTTGATCTATACTATTCTTCTGAAACTGCTGCTAAATTCCTAACACTGGCATGGGACTCAGTGAATAAAAAATTAGTCACCGCCTTTTCATAATGTACCCAGTTTTGGTAGCCAGTGATTCCATTCATATTTTACTCTTGAGATGCCCAACTTCATACTTTCCAAGTAAGGGAAAAGGCACTTTATCAAAGATATACAAATTTGAACATTGCTCAAAATAGAAAGGCAGCAAAAACTACCTTAGTGCAAACAAAAAAGTTTTATCAGCTTATGTGTCTGAACAGAAAACTTTGAGGTAACATTTTGAATAATGACATGTTTAGGGGTACATTTAATTTCAAAATACCATCAAATTGACTTCAAATTCCCTTTGGAAGAAAACATTCTCTCGTCTCCTTCATTAAACTCCTCTTAATTATCCAAATACAGAAAGGTCTGCAACATTGTTTAAATACAGACAGTAAGAAGATATGCAGAGGATCACAGGACTGCCTTCCAACAAGAATATAATCTACATGAAGTTTTGAGAATGTGACTTTTTATCACAGTTCCTGTGTTCAACAGTATAAACGCAAATGCTCAGATCCATGGAGCTGTGAATGTAATGCTGGTATGGAAAATGAGACTGATGCTTCCTCCCCTAAACTACTTAGTGAATGGCTGCCTCTGTTTCCAGCTGCAGGAGCAAAGCACCTCTACCACACAGCACACATGCACGCACACATACACACAACTCAACTTTCAGATACTCAGGGCCACAACTGCAAATCCAGAGCTCTGCTAGTTCAATCAACTGATGGCTTAGATTTTGTACGTGTGCTAATCCATGTAATGCTTATTTCACAAGGTCTATCTAATGATAAAAGCCTAGCTAAGTCTTTAAGAATTTTTTACATTAAATTATAAAATGGCCACTCACAAAAATTATGATGCCTAGAATCTCCACTGCTCACAAGGGAAAACTAATTTGCCATTGGTTTATTTATAAAAGAAGTAACAATCTGGTCGGATCTATAGCAACCCCCTTTTTTTTTCTCCCATAGCAAAATTTTATTAAAGGTAGGAAAAGAAACAGGCTCTCCAGAGTGAGTTTGAGCCAGGTAAATGTAGGAAATGGAGTACACCCTACACTGTGAGGACAGGTCACCATCGAAGAGCAAGACAGTTCTGCTCAACAGAAACAATGGAATATACTTTTAGCTTGGTATTTAGAATTTTCTAATGATTGAGCTTTCATTAGGAGAGGGATTTACTAGTTTTTGCAGTCAGGAAAGGGTGGAGAGAATACATATAGCCTACCTCTCTAGCTAGTCCTTAACCCTCTCCAAGGGACAAGTAGCTGATTTGACTGGTCAGAGCATGGCCATGCACGGCTCTTAGACTATCTTGCACCCATGGGTATGGTACCTGCACTGACATAACAGTGAACACTTCTGGATCTCAAACAATTGGACACGTGACAAAGGGTTTCCTACCCCTCTCTCCCTCCTTGTGCTGAAGGTCTCCCTAAATGCAAGGTTGGGTGGGTTGGAAAGATAATAAGCATGGACAGGGTCTGGCTGTCTCTGATTCAATGAGGATAAGACAAGAAAATGTGCTCTGGCCTCAGACCTAAGTCACAGTGTCCTACGCATACAGGAAGTTAGGGAACTTGCCCAGATTAAGCAAGTTTTACTCTGCTTCTCATTCACCTAAAGATTCATGAGTACAGAACTTCAGAGGTAGACAGGTGAGTAGCACTCTGAACTTTCTTCCTACAGTGAAGTCTTGGACTCAAGAGCTCCTGGTGATAGTCACCCTTAGGCAGACAAATAAGTCATGACATAGGTTAGAAAGGGCATAGCTACAGTAATGATAGGAACCAATTTCTTGATTTTTTCCCCCTGTGTTCTCAGGTGAGTACACTTTAGACTGATAAGCTTTTACCCAAGCTAACACTCATCCTTGGTCTGAAGAGATCAACTATGAGATCAATAAGCTTCAATGGGAAATGAGGTATGCATTGAGGACAAGCCACGAAAGTCCATGCTCTGGCAGAGAGGAGGAAGCTCCAGGTCTGAGTGTCTCAGGGGAGAGCTAAAGGAAGGAGCCAAAGACAATAAAAAGGAAGATAAAACTTTGTTTAGGAATGGCTCTCACTTGATATATTTTCATTATTGAAAATGTCTATGGGCTATTATATCGATTTAATATATTGTGTGCATAATTATATTTCAATTCTACATATATCATGATGCTCAGAAATTTAGCTGAGTTCAATCAGTTAAAATCAGGATTAATATACTGAGTACCTAAATAGATTTTTCTCCCTTGTTGCCCTGTGTTTTTCCCACAACATGGTTTTTAAAAACATACAATGAATTCAAAAGATAATCGATCCAATATTTGCAAATACATTACAGAACCTCAGATGATACAAAAGTCTACCTTAATTTACTCAGATGTTTCAAATTTTCAAGTACTTAACTATCAAAAGATGAAATACATAGACAAGCCAAGTGTAGGGAAAATACAGAGCACTCTTTTTAGTTTTTCACTCTGCTTTTCCAAGAATCATATTCACTCTTAAGATTGCTGATGAGGAGCCAGGGTGGGCAGAGGATGCCATGCTGAAGACACCAATTCTACATGGTTCACCAGCAGCTGCCACACCTATGATACAGACCTGTTTAACGATTCGAGTCCATTCTATGACCTTTAACAGGAAATAGCCCTTGAGTCACTGTTCCTAGAAGAAGCATCCTCTATTTAGTTTTATGCTTAAAAATCCTTGATCTGATAGTCTGGACCAAAGATCACTTATGAGGAAGTTTATGATCCATGAGTGAGAGGAAAACCTGTTGTAAAGCTTTGAAGATCCTAGATGTTTGGTGACCAGGTTCAAGGACATGGTCTTCTCATTCTTAGGAAATGTAAGCCAATCAGAGCTACACCAGACAGGAAATATTGCTAGATATTGCTTAGTAGTCATCTCACATAATAAATCATGAGGAATTATGTTTATTACTAATAATGAATTTGAACATATAAAGTTGACACTGTATCACAAAATAAAACGGGTTTTTAAAAAAACCTTAGATCTGTGGTTCTAGAAATTTCAGTTTCAAATATTAGGGCATCCATCTGTAACAATGGAAGCTAGCATAGAAACTAACGAGTAATGGAAAGGTTTGAAAAACCTACCAAAGCAAGACAATGCCATCTGATTGGGGTTGGTCAGTGTCACACTCATTTTCCACATTTGCACCCCTGAGACAACTGTTTGAGAACCATTATACAGTAGGCACAGAAATCAGCACACTTCAACAAACAGAACACTAAATAGTTGTCACTACATTAAAAATTATATTAACTTTTATAAATGCTGTAGATAGAAGAGAATAATCTTAAAAGTTTTAAAATCTGTGCTTGGTTTTCCTCTAAAATGGAGTGAATGTCAGGAAATAAACATTATGTGACTTTGACATTTTCCTCCCTTGCCTGCAAATCCTCTTCCAATCCCACAAAGCATACATACAAGAAAACCATTAACAAAAGAAAACAGCTGATGCAGGATTTGTTTTGCATGTATGTACTAAACAGTATTGGCCTTCAAATGCTTCTTGAAGAATTCTTTGGCTCGGTCACAACAGCTCCAAATCTTGAGTTTCATGGGCTGAGGATTCTGAGTCACCGCATGGCTTTTGGACTACATTAAAAGACATTAACACTTCTGGTGTAACTTGCACATAGTGACGTTCACCTGGGTAGCAATACTTCAGTGTCCCTCCAAGGACACTCAGTGCTGCTGCCCCAACACTAGCAGTAAGAGCTTATTGAGATGGCAGACTGAAATGACAGGGTGACACTATTAATCATTTGGTTTGTTCTGAAAAAAGTTTGAAAAGGACCACCCTCCTCCACCTGATTTAGGAGAGTCTTCATCTTTAGGGGGAATCAAAAACTGTCGGGAATTGATGGAGCATGGACTTCCAAAAGAGACAATTTCACTGTTGCTGTCTGTGGATCTAGGAGAGTCTGGAGAGACCAATTTCCAAGTATTTACATTTGCCTGAGGTCGGTAACCTGCAGTTTTATCCATGTTGTCCTCTGCAGCTGTCTCTTCTACAGTAGAGTTAATAGGGAGGCGCATTTGTGGCTTATAGCCTGCCACAACTATGGGGTCAATTTCTTGGTCTTCCTCTGGTTTGGTCTGAGGCTGATACATGGACTGAACATCAATGTAGATGACCTGTGAAGTACCTGCTGCTTCATCCACAGCTGGGTTTGCAATTTCTTCCTCGATGATCGGTGGGCAATAGGACACGACCACATGGTTTTCAGGTTCTACATCAGAACTATCTATAGGACGCTCAACTACTGGGGAAATTATCTCTGTGTCTTCTATTTTAGGAAGTATTGACCGAGTTTCCAGAACCTCAACATTATTTGGGGTACAAGGATTCATTTCCAATGTTTTAAGAGCACTGCTTCCCTAGAAATAAATTTTAAAATAGTGATTAACATTAAATATTACTGCAATGCCTCTATTAGAAAGAACATACTTTTTTCACATTTGCTTATAAACATTTGCCTCTGCTACTCTATAGTATACACCAGAGCAAAGCCATTTTTATATCCACACAAATATTTTCCTTGCTATTAGTAGCAGTGGAAAAAAAATATGGTATAAACAATTTAAGATTAATAACTTCAGAAACTCAGCAGATGTTAAAATTATGCTATTTGGCTTAATACTTTTTACTTAGGGAGCCATCTGCATGTTATAAACTTTTCACAGAAGGAAAAGAAACCAGTAGTTCAAAGACAATAGCATGAAAGTATTACCTCGCAGACGCTCTTCTGAAACTGTAATGCTTTACAATTTTCTGGATTTGGAATATCAGGGTAGAAGGTCTCCTTAATCCTTTAAATAAAGAATGATTTAATACATTTAATAACTATAATATTAATCAGGCAAGTTGTCAGCTTATTTTGATACTTTATGTGAATGTTCTAAAGAACATCTGAAATAAATACAGAAATCCTTAGTATGTGACTAATCGCCAGAGCTTCTTTAGAAAAATTTTTATTGGTACATTTCAGGTATACAATACAATGACATTCATCATTGGAAATTTGTACCTTTACGTTATCTATCTTGGTTACACTAGAGCTTCTATATAAGGTTCCAATTGGAAAACTACAAACAGTAATACTATGTCTAGAACTATAACAGTTTGTATATCTCATGAGATTGGAAAGCAAATAATTAAAATGGGGATTGTGCTATTATCTCCAAAGAAAATTACAGGCGTTGTTAGTGCAACTATAATTTTCAGTTGCACACTGGATTCTGCAGGATCAGTTATGAAGGAATGTGTCTGCACTGCTGTCCTCTCCTGTGAAGAGCAGGATCTGTACTGTGCAGGGAACAGCTGTGGTGCTCTACAACTGTGACCCAGGTAAAAAAAGGGAGGTGACAGCCCTATCTCGAACTGATATTACCTGGTGGGCTAAGACAAAGAAAGGAAATCAATCTTGGGTAAAAACTAAATGCAAACAAAAAATGAGATCTGCACAGTGTCACATCACATTTTAATGTGATATTTAACAAGAACTATTTGAAGTTCCTATAGGAAAAATAACTTTGTTAATGTAAATCTAAAGGAAATCTTAACTTCCTTTTTTGGTCTTTGTTTTGGTATTGAAATAGCTGCTTTTAAAATGTGACTGTTCAGCTGGGCGTAGTAGCGCATGCCTGTAATCCCAGCACTTCGGAGGCTGAGGCAGGAGAATCACTGTGAGTTCGAGACCAGCCTGGACTACTTCGTGAGTTTCAGGTCAGTCTCAATTACATGGTTAGACCCTGTCTCAAAAAACAAAACAAAACAACAACAACAACAAAAACAAAAACAAAACAAAAACAACAAAAAAAACCACCCCGAAAAGTGACTTTTCATAATGAGACTATGGTTACCAAAAATAAACTATTCTATCCTTCTGCAGCAATTACTACTGTGATTCAGAAGCCAACATTGTCAAAACACATGCTCTTCCATGTCATAAATCAGACTCGTTGTGGAAATCAGCCCTCTGCCCAGAACCAGGCCGGGACAGCTCTGGCCAGCAGGGTGCTTTCTTCACGAAGCCCTTCCCGCCTCACCTCTCATCTCAGCCTCTCTCCAGTTCTCCAGCCACACAGCTCCTCTAACGCCAAGCCATACAGTAGCCATTCCCTCTGACTGTTCCATTTGTTCCCCTTCCTTGTCCTTCATGACTCTCCCAGAGGGCAGCTTTCCTGTGAGACACCCTAAGGCATCAGTGCCGTTTCTGCTCCTCACTGGATGCTTAGTGGTTACCGTCACTGTCCTCCCTCACTGTGCTTCACAGGGAAGGGGTCTTCACACTTGATGATAAGCGAGTAAATGACCCAAACAACCCAATTCTCTACATGGGTCACCAGGACAAGTGAGAGCTTAATCACTGAATAATATATAATGTTAAAGATATTATTGTCATGTTTAAGCCTGAAAATATTTTTTTGAGCACAACTGCCATTACTTTAAGTGATTAGCAAAAGCAATAAGGAAGAATTTATACTTTTACTCTATTAGCTTTAAAACTTTTAAATGTTATACTCTTGCCTAATATTAAAGTCAATATTAATTCTGACTAAAAATATAATTTCTAACTTGTACAGTTAAAAAGATAAGCTTACAGTGCAGCACACAGAATAAAAATCAAGCCTTTAAAAATAAAATAAACAGGTATCATTACCATTCTCGTTTCCGATAGCAAAGAACACTTGTTACCACTCCAATAACGACAGCCACTGCCACCGGGATGAGAATGGCAATAATTAATCCCACAGCTGAAAATAGAATGTTGCAAACAAAATCACCATTTTTAGCATCAAATATATTATTACTTAAAAAGAAAAATAAAACTAAGTGTTCCAGGAATCCCGAAAAACTAGTAAAAATACAATCTTCCTTGTATTCTAATCATTTTTATTCTACTACTTAAAATTCTTTACAGGAGAATTTCTCAATCTTGGCACTATTGTGTAGGGAGGCCTGTCCCATGTACTGCAGGAAACGCAGCAGTACCCCTGGCCTCTAAGCAACAAGCTTTGGTAGTGCCCTCCCCACAAGTTACGACAATCCAAAATGTCATCACACAGTCTCTGAGGGGCAAAAGCCCCCAGCTGAGAACCATTATTTTAGTGAATCCTATCCTCATGGTTCTTTAAGAGCAATAACACAAAGCTCCAACTCAGGAGTAGAAGGTAAGTCCGTAACCAATTAAAGTTTCTGATGTTGGAAGATAGTCAAAGTCATATTTTTTCTCTACTTCCACTTTAAATTTATAAAAGTGTTGTGCTTTCCAAAAATTTTTGGCAGTTTTTTTTAGTGCTGGGTCTCAAACCCAGGGTCTCACTCATGGGAGACAAGAATTCTGCCACTATATCCCTGGCCCCACAAAAAATTTTAAAGAAATTTTATTTATTTGACTTTTGCCTGGATTCATTTTAAAAACCACATACTAGCTGGGGAAATTTTTTTAATTGGCTATTATATAAATTCAACATGCATTTATACCTCAAGGCTCCAAATATATTACTAATTCATTAATTAGGTACTCATTTGCAAATAGCTTCAAATATCTGATAAGAATAAACATTAAATTCCCTTGTGATCTTTCAAAGATGCCCTTTACCTAGCATACAAATAGAATATAATGTGAAATTTTTAAAAAGGTATGGGTAGTGTTCCTACATAAATCAAAAATGGGCTTGGAACACTATGAAGTTAAGCATGGAAGGCTTTTTTTTTTTGGTACCAGCAATTGAACTTGGGACCTTGTGCTTGGGAGGTAGGTGCAGTGCTGCTGAGCTAAATCCCCAGCCCCGAAGGCATCTTGATGGTAATTCTGAACTTACAGTTTTCATTCGTCACCACAAACATACTCTTCTCTGGGCCCAGGCCACCATCTGTGTAGGCTTGCAGAATAAGATGATAACTTGTTTTACCTTGAAGATCAGCAATTCTTAGTGTCTTCTGGGATATGTCAGTAATATTCTTTACCTTGATGTCAGAATGACCTAGTTTTCAAATGAAGAAAATTTTAACTCATCCTAACACCATTTCAAACATACAGTGGTCATGCCTGCCTGTCGCACAACCACTCCTTTCATGTGAACTTGGCTGCTGGCCACCCCAGCCAACAATCTGAAGCCAGGCAGACCTACCAGATGAGAGCTATGTTTAGACTATGCTGGATTTGAGTTCTCTGATGCTGAAACCCAATACCATGACTTGCCTCCAAAAGCTGTGTGAAGTTATATGAAGAGGATGTGAAGTTCACACTTATCTGCTGGCCCACACTGCGTGGCACACACTAGGCAATCAATAAAAGCCACTTCCTTGTCTGTTACTAAGAGCAGGAAAACCACTCCACTCAGGCTGATCCTGCCTGTGAGTCAGCAATATAAGCTGATGGGGAAAGAGTGCAAATCAATAGAGATGACTTCAAACCACTTCGGGAAAGGGTCCACATTATGGGAATCCTCTGATGACGGACTATGATGTAGCCTTTGAATCACTTCATAAGGAAGAATGAAGAACTGCTTAAACTTTATCTTGTTTTTAAGACTCTCAACCAAAATAACACAAGATCGTTAAAAAAGTTAAATGGTACTAAATGGCTAGTAACAAACAGTATTAAATGGCTGGTAGCAGTTCCTTACCAGTCCCTCCCCTTATTTCTACAACTACTTCAAAATCATGTTATCAGTTTCTTTGGGTATAGAGCTCCTGTTTTGGAAATAAAAATTTAGATTGTTCTATGGCTGTTTCACCTTCTTTAGCTATCTGAAAAGTCCTTATAATATACCCTGGCATGGATCTTTTTTCAAGTTATTTTACAGTGTACTTAATTGATCCATTATATATATATACACACATACACATGTATATATACATATACATATATACCTATGTATACATATACACCCCCCCCAAAGTCTTTCATTTCTGCCAGTCAGCTAGTCAGTGATGCTTAACTGCTACTCAGATTTCACCACCCTCCACTCTTCTAAGTCACTTGCCAAAAGCCAATTACAAGATTTCTAAATTCTCTTTTTTGATGCCACCTTTGCTTCTTGCATTTTCTTTCTCCTCGTGTCTTATGAAGTTCTTTTTATTTTACTCTAACTTGAGTGACCAATCCACCATGTCTAATCAGAAATGCAGATGCTAGAATTTTAACTAGTTAAAATGTAAATTCTTTGAGCATATGAGGAAAATTATACTAGACTGCGAATGTCTATACAATTTGATGCACAGAGCTTTTCTCATCCGCAGGTAACCCTGAAGGTGCAGGAGCTGTAGAAGCCAGAGGTCTAGGAAGCAGTGCAGCTGTCAAAGTTATTATATGCCCAGTCAGCATCTGGGTGTAGCATTGTTGTCTCTACTTCTTAGAGAGGCATTAAATAATTAAAATGGTTTCTTCCTGAGAAGTCATTAATGGAAATGAAAGCTCTTCAACTGAAAAAATGATCCACTTGTATCCTGTGTCTATGAACAAGAGATATATCAATCCCAACAGAAATATAACCTAAGATAAATGCTAGAAATCTGTATAAACAGTTTTGTAGCAGTAAATTTGAGAACTAAGAGTCTAAGGTGTTTGGACATACACTTCACAATAAATGACTGTATTTTCAAAATATAGTGGATATTCACATCCTTATTAGAGTAAATTAAATTTTCTAGCTCATTACAGCTAAGGGAGACGTTAACCATGCTGATGGCTCTTTCTCAGATTATAGTGCAGGCTCTGAAGCCATTCTTTGGATTCCTGCATTTTCCTAAGTACAAGAATGCTTTTTTAAAGTAAATTTTATAAGATACTATACTGTAGATTATGGAAGGATAACAAGAGACAGTCTATAGCCTATAGAGCTTAAAAATCAAAAGCTTCAGAATAAATCATATAAATGATTTCTGAAAGACTAGATACATGCCATTTATTACAGTACTAAAATCTTAAAAAATGCTTATATTCATAAAATGATTACACTTCCATTTCCTTATTTTTCAGACAGTTCTGGAAATCAGTATTAAACTACTCAACAGTACTTTCTTTACTTTTCTCTTTTATGGTAATGAGAACTAAGAAAAGCTATAATTAGGTTGGGAATTTACTTACCTGATTCCAAACCCCTCATTTTAGATGTGTCTTTCTCTCCTTTTTCAAAGTAAAATAAATATCCTCTTAAAAAGCCTCTAAGCTCTTCCACAGGAATATCTTCCCATTTTACTAATATGGAATCTGAAGTTGTATCTTCAACAGTAAAATTTGGTGCAACAATTGGAGCTGTGAAATGGAGATATCAGTTACTCAAAGTTTACCAATAGAGAGTAATACAGTAATGGCTCATGAGCTTTCTGGCCTGAAAAAGCAGCTGAATTCAGAATTAAAACTGTATTCTCTATTCAATCACAAATTTCCAGAGATTATCACAAGGCTTATATAATAAAAACAACAAAAATATTTTTAGAAACAAAAGTAAACTTCATATTGCAACTTTCAAACAAAACATATGTCCAGATAAACAAATCATTTAAAGTCTAAGTAGTTGCTCAAATAGACTTCATTTTTATTTTCCTTCTTTATTGCCCGTGCTGAATAAGTTAATGTTTTTTAAAACCTGAATAGATACAAATAAAATATTTCTGACATCCACGTTAAGTTAGTTTTCTCAATGACAACAGTAAAACTATGAAATATAAATAGTAATAACTGGATTAGTAATACACAAATAGTTTTAAATTTACAAATGATATTTTACATTCCTTGAACTAAACATCTTAACAATCTATTTTTAAAATTCAGTCTTGCTATTTATCAGTTTATGACTTCATGTTACCCAAACTCTAAAAACTTATCTTTTAACTTACCCAATTCTTTAATATATCCAATTACGGAACGTAATAATTGATATCCTTGATTTCTGCACCCATACAGAAAAAAATTATATCTGACACCTGGTCGAAACTGATCTATAGAATAAAAAATTAGTAAAAATTCATAAGTATTTATATATATATACATATATATATGTTGGAATATTTATTTTAGAAATATATGATTTATAACAAATTTCAAATCTAATCTTTAATGGATATTTTATTACAAAGATATATTTGTATTCTTAAACTTAGTAAATATTTAGAATGAAAAGTAAGCAAAAATTAAACAAATTCTCTCATACTATAGCATTATAAGATGACACTGCCTTGAAAAGAATAATGGTGACCAAGCCTTACATTTTGTTCCCTAAAATCAAGTGATGATTTCTTCCCAGATTTGATCCAGGGTCAGTTCACTAACCCCACTCCATGCCTACATCATGCCTCTATAAATCCCTTCCCTATATGATGATATTGCTAAATTGGAAATAAACCACTATTCTACTTGTGCTCTATGAGAAGCAGAATATTAAGTGTTCTACTCTATCTCAAAAATTTAGTGTTATAGGAACCAGCCATTTGAAGTCACTCCTCCCTACAACATTGTCATTAAATACTCCTGGGTGAGTTAACTCTATAAGCAATACAAAGGAAACATCTTAACTTCAACTCAAAATGGACTTTTTAAATACCTCCTCAATATAATGTAAGATACAAAGGAAGAACTCAGAAATACACGAAATAAGGTCCCAGGCATGGTAAAGCTTGGGCATGGCAGAGAGGTTAGGAAGACCCATGAGCAAAAGAAAGCATAGCACAGTGTTATACTGCACCCAGTATACACGTCAGATGCTGAGCCTACAATGGCCCAAAAAAGCCACGATAAATAGTATCCGAACAGGGCCTTGACAGGCAATTAGAGCTCATGAGGGCCAATTTAAGAAGACAATGCATGCAGTAGAATGGCAACAATTATTCTAGTGTGGTTAATTCTGTATATCAGTTCTCCAGTTATGTGCCCACAAAACATCAGTAGTTTTCAGGTTCAAAAATGAGATAGTCAACCTCCAAAATCCTACAATGCAAAAAAAGAAAGAAAAAAAAAGAACCAGAATGGACTTGCCTCCTATTTAACCTTTTTTCTGTAATTTTCCTTAAATGTTTTCTATATGCTAGCATGGACTCAGTAAATATCAAGGGAAAACTCAAACCCACCCACATTTGTTTAGTTGTGAAACTTTTTTCTGTGAGGAAAGATATGCTCGTATATGTATTTTATGTTAAAATTATGTATTATCAATATTCTATAGGGTTTTGCCACTTAAGAGCCCGAGTATGTAAAAGCATTAGGAACACAAGCTGTGGTCAAGAGAGGAAGTACTATAGGAGTGGATGGCTGGATGAAAAAGGAAGGAAGAGAATTGTCTACCAGACTGTGTCAGAAGCCCAGCCTCTAGAAGCTCTGTGCAGGTTTGAATTTGAATTCTGGTCCTATTATATACTAATTTGAGCAAGTTACCTAACCACTTGGAGCCTTTTGTTTCTGCTCAACCACTTTTTTTTTGTTTGTTTTGTTTTGTTTTGGCAGCAGCAATCAAATTTAGGACTTTGCGCATGCCAGGCAGGCGTGGCACCACTGAGCTAAATCCCCGGCCCTGCTAACTCATTCAGGCACACAGTTCTCCTCTGTACCCAGAGGTACAGAGGAAGCTGCGGGAGCTCCCTGGTGCCAGAGGAGGCTGGCAAGGACTGGAGGGTTGGGAGTGGCTGCAGGGACAGAGCCCCCAGCTGCACCACATTGCAGGCTGGCTTACTTCTGTCCCTGCAGGTCTCAGCTAAAACCTCTATTCCTATCTACAACCTGTACACTATCTATATCCACATGTACCCTACCCTGGTCTATCCCAATTGTCTTCAAAGTCCAGGTGCGAAGAGATGGACTGGAACTGTGTGAGGCTCGGTCAGCCCCAAAGGAGGGGAGCGCAAAGGGTAGGTACAGAACAGAAAAGTTAGGGGACAGCCAGCCACCTTGGTAAGTGTATCATGATGTAAGAGAAGAGAAAGAGGAGCCGAGGAAAACCACCACCACTCTGGCCAGCTACATACGTGACAGGATTTTGCTGTATTCCAAGCAGAAGTAGAAAATTGTCAGAACCCATATATGGTACTTCAGTGAATAAGACGTGCCCTCACCATCTGACCGTGAAAACAGTAAACAAAGCAGATACTCCTGGGAGAGAAGAGATGAGCAGGGGCTTGCTCTCCTGTGTTTCACCGTTATATAAGGAGAACCAGGAAAGGGGGATGGCTTAGGAGGCACTCACTCCAGGCAGAAGTTTAAAAAATCCCACAAGGACATACCTCAACAGCTATTCACAAGTAACAAGAGGGCTACAATTCTAAAGGAGGTGGCAGACTTAGCCCATGACTCTGATGGCTAAACTATCAAGGTATCAAGGGCAGCTAGTGTCACAAACCACACCCACCCTTCCACACCACCCCTCCCCTCCATCGGGGAAAGGTTATGCTCACTGGCTCCCTGGCTTTACTAATATAGGCCTGAGCAAATAAAAGCAAAGGGTGTTTTGTGGTCTTTTTCTATGAGCCTTACCCATTTTTTAAATTTTTGACATAAATTTTATTGCTACGAAACATTTTTATGTGTACCACCATTTACCCATTCGTTTATTGCTATTTGTTTTCAATTTTTTATGATTATAAGAAATGTTGCACAGAACATTCTTAGAGGAAATTTCATGTTCTCTGATTATTTCTTAGAATAAATTCCCAGATAAGTACTAGGTTCCTAGTTCCTAGACATCTACTATAAGCACATGGAATCATAGGTTCTGCCTGTCATGTACATCATGCTACAGATTACCTTCTAGAAAAGTTAAATAATTCACATCTACTCACCCAATCACATGTTTGTTGCTTTTAAGTAATATTTTTAAAATAACTATTTTTAATAATTTTAAATAATATTTTTGCCTATGGTAAATTTTTTTCAACTTTTGCCTTTTATTAGTATTAGTACATGTCTGTGTATGTTTGGAATAATTAATATTCTTTTAAGAACTCTGAGGAAAAAAAAGAACTCTGAGACTTGTTCTTACCAGATTCTATTATGACTTCAGTGCTGTTTGAAGGAACTTTTTTCCAATCCATAAGGCAGGGCTCAGACTGAGATGAATTACACCACTTAATAACATAGTCGCAAGTCATGTTGGGGTCAGGATGCCAGGTGAGGAGAATCCTCTTTCCCATTCCAACAACCTGCTCTACTCTGAGATCATCTTTAACAAGAAAGAATGGCATTTTATTGGCATTAAAAACCTTATAAGGTAAGTCTCGTGAAAGTGCTCAGGAGTTATAAAAATTACTTCACTGTACACAAATTACAGAATAGTGTTCAAACCAGATAAATGTTTAGCAGAGATTAGAATTATTGCTCTGTTGCTTGTATTATGACAACTGTATAGCACTGAGCTGTATCCAGTGATTAACACAGTAACTGAGGAATTAAAAAGGCAACTAGGATCAGGCAGCAACAGCCTAAGGGTGGGATGGGATGATGTCGGTCTAGGAAGGATGGGGTGGAGGAAATAAGGATGGCACCAGAGAACATGGTGTGGCTACACTGCCGAGGGAGAGGGTGGGAGCCTGGCAAAGGACACTGAATGCAAGCTCCATGAGAGCAGGGGGCCGGAGAGTGTGCAGAGAGGGCACACACAAGGACTGGAAGAACAGGTGAGCCAGAGCCTTCGCCTACTTTCCAGGAAGCCTACTACCCTGGGGCAGAGCCAACGGGCACTGTCCCACTTGGAGGAGGGTGGGAAGGGAGGATCTGCTGATGCACTGAGCTGTGAAATTCAGTGTGGGCAGAGGGGCACAGTATGGAGCTTGGGGCAAGGGAGAGAGGAAACAGACCCTGCGCCAGATTTGTTTTCCATTTCCTACCAGATGTGTACCTAAATGAGAAGGGGAATAGGACCTGCAGTTAAAGCAATTTCTATATCTGATTTATACTTAAGGTAAAAAGCCACAGAAATGTTTTCTGAGGAAACATACATTCACAAAGCAGTTACCACTGAACACAAGACAACAATCTGGCTTAGAATGCAGAAGGCTTTGGACAAAAACAGCTTTTTGGCTCCGTATGCTTATAAAACCATAATATAAACCCGAACTGGGGCTGGAGAGCCTCCACCTTGGGAATCCCTCTAGGAGCCATGAGGTGCCGGGGCTCTAGTCACTGTCTGAAAGTTCAGGACCAAGCCAAGGTCAACCTCTGCAAACTGCCATCCCTCAAGGTCAGAGGACATGTGGAACAGGCAGGATTCCAGTCCTTGAATTAAAAGACAATACAGCTGCTGCCTATCATTGTGAGAGCAATGAGGTGAATGATGTAAGTCAGAAGTTATCTTCTCAGGTGCACACATCTGTTTGTGGTGGGCCAGGTCCAAATACAGGCCCATCAGTCTGCCTTGTAATGACCCTGCCTGGCTGTATTTGTTCCACTACAGCTCTGGGGCCTCTCCGGCCTATCCTGTTAGCTCCCCCAGGACAGTGTCTGTCTCTGAAATGTATTGGGCTTTTCCCCATTCACTCCTCCTACTTTTCCTACTTCAGCCTCAAAGAGAACAAAGAACTAGTTAAGTAACATAATAAGAAATTGCCACAAGCTGACCTGATAAAATGCTCAGAGGTCTTAACTAGACCCATTTGCCTTCTTCTAGGAGTGAATTTATAGAAAGGTGCTCCCAGATAGGGGCAGCACAGCAGAAGAGGGATCAGAAATGACTTGAAAGGGGAAGTGGCCATTTCTTTAAAACTCGTGACTCAAAAAGTTGTCCAGATAGATGTTAAGAAGGAATGCAGCAGTCACTGATAATCTGATTTCTCGAAAATTTAATGGAGGATACAATAAATTTTAAAACTATATCGCAGTTTGTTTTTTTTCCAAGCCTGTATTACAGATGGAATTTAGACTTCAGAAAGACTTTATCAATAAAGAGTTTCTTATCAACAAAATTCCCAAATAAAACAAGTATTTTTCCTGCCTAACAATTTGCAAAACTGCCTAGCTTGATAGCATAAGAAAGTCTGAATAAACAGTTAAACTATTTCTTCTAAGCACTTCCCCAACCATAACTCGCCAACACAATGAGATAAAGCAATCAGCTATAGTAATTATTTAATCTATAAGTGTACATGCTTTAAGTCACCAGTAACAACTACTATCTCATCCATTACTTGTTCCTCCACGTTTAGGTCAGCAGCAAGCAGCATGTGTGAGGGCTGTTTTCATTACATCAGGGCACGTAACATCAACTTTCTTTCTTTAATTTCTTGTTCTTACACATCAAGTTTTCATAACCACTCACCATTTGGGATTTCCATACTGGCTATTTTAGAAGGTGGTGATGAGCCAACAGAGTTCTTTGCTACCACACTGATGATGTAATCATTTTTATCCAGGCGTATTTCTGCTTTGTGTTGAGGATCAAGGATCTCAGAAAGGGACTGCGTTTCCTCATCTGATGAACACGATACATTATAGGAAAGGATTTTCCCATTAGCTTCATTAACAGGTAAAGGCTATGAAAAACAGAAAATAAATTATTGAAAACTTGCAAAAAAATAAGTGGCTATGCAAGGTCATCAAGTCTAAATTGAAGGTTAGATTCACAATGACTAATATTAGTAAAGGATGAAACTGTCTACAAAACAGATTTAACATCCACTGAGATCTAGGTATATTAGGAAAGTTATATTTAACTATATTTATCAAGTTAATACTTGTTTCAAGTATTAAAAATACACAGAATTTAAAGAGAAACAAGATTTATCTTTATAGATATCCAAGTATCTGATCCCTTTTAAGGAACTAGGAAGGCTATTTAAGTTAATGTAAAGCAAAAATTTAAAGTTTGCAGAAGCATTGCTCTACTTCACAACAAAACTTTAAAAATATGACAATTTGTTTTTAAAAAACAATAGTTTTCTCATTTTAAAAATAGTAATGTCCACTAAAGAAAACTGAAAAAACATAAAAATTGAAAGACAGGAAGTTAAAATATCTCATATTTCTACCTTTTAAACACTCCTGCATTTTGCTATCTTTTTCCAATTGTTTTTCTAGAGGTAGGATTTTTTTTCTTAATTAATGGCCCCAGCATGACACTGAAGTATATTACTAAATGATATGTCACCTTGTGAGAACTTTGCCTTAAGGGTGGAAAAAAGTTCTCTCAAACACTGCTCATATCAAAACACAATTTTTTTCACTCTTCTTTAAACACTTGTCCATGTTAATACAATTATAGACATTTTAGTGATTTTACATTTCATGTAGCATTTTATATCAGTATACTTGAATATTCCGTAAACACATGAAATTTAAATTTTCACAATACTAAAACAATAATATTTTGGTGAATACTTTGGTGCCACACTTTTTGCCTTTTTCATACTTAGGATTAAGTATTTAATCTAAATCCCCAAAGGATGACTTAATTTTATAAGAAAATCAACATTCGAACTTCTTTATATAACTAAAGTGCCTTTCAAAACTATTGCCCCTACATATGGCACCATATGAGATCAGCTGATCCAGTCACACAAGAAAAATGCAACCAACACTTTGGATTCCAACTTGTAGTTTCTGGCTGAGCCTCTGACAAAAGCAAGGGAGAAGGAATTTATGAAACTCACAGGTCCTTGGTGGGCCTCATAAAATTAAGTTAAAGTGTGTTCAGGACCCGAGATGGAAGATACTCACTACAATGACTGTGGTAGAAGAGGAGCGATGAGGAATGTGGGGATATAGGAGGCAGGCTAGATCTCAGCGACGCTGCACTTAGCCAACCCAGGAAATCCTGACTCCCCAATAACCAAAGTGCCACATACATGTAAATCAAGAACTCGAGCGTAATACAATTATTTAAATGTTCCAGGAAAATCAGATATTTACCTTCCAGTATATTATCAAATTTTTTCCATCAGAACTCCACTCTCTCCAAGTGTCTGGTCCCTTTGAAGGAACTAGGAAGGAAATTTTAAAAAGTTAGCACCTGTAGACACATACTGTATGCCTGTTGTTAGTATCACTAATTGAGATGGTAGTGCTTAAAATTTTTTTCTCTGGTATTTCAATTTTAATATATGTGCTGCTGAAGCGAGCATTTCTATGGTACTTCAAATGTTCAATAAAATGTAAAATAGTTCAGTGGCTTAAAAATAAATTTAGAAAATGAAGCAACAGAAAAGCTAAGCTCTCAATTTCTACAAACACAAGGTCCCAGAAAGTGGGCTAAAATCACACTCAAGGTCATCAGTGATTGTCCCTGGGTGCCTCTCTGTCTTACATCTTCTCATCTCTCCATGAATAATAATTAGCTATAAATCATTTAGTTAACTTACTGGCTTCTGTGGTTAAATGTTGTTTTTCATTGCTCCACTTGCTCCATTTCCAGTAAGTTTCAGAAGAACAACGAATCCGGAAAGTATACATGGTATATGCATTTAATTTGTCCATAGCAACACGATAATTTGAATTTTCCACTCCTTTGATTGTGACACTCCGCTATTTGAAAACAAGTATGTGTATGTATGTGTATAAGCCATGTGTACCAATACATGAATATACTCACACATATACATTTTTTGTAAGAAATCCTCCTACATAAGTAGTATAAATCAACAGAGTGTCTCTATGAGCTTATATTTAAACACCAAAAAGAACCCATCCACTATAGTGGATATTTTATATTTTGATTATTTTATAATATTTTGTTTTATTTCTTATATATGTACAGTATCAAGTCAAAAAAATTATGTTCCACAACAGCAATAAAATATTGGGATTTTTAAAAAATCTGAATATTAAATCTAAGTAATAATTAAATTATGCAGAGGATGATATAGTTTTAATAACTAGTCAAGGGCTAATGATTATATAATAAACCTGTACATAATTTGGTAATCTTAGATGACCTCAAGGCTTGAGCATTAAGTGTACTCTCCAGATGTTATCTGGAAGACTCCCCGAGGCAGGCATCATCTTTTATATATCTGTGTTATGTCACTTAGGACATCTAGAATGGTGATAAACATATAGTAAATGGTCCACAGATATTTAAACTAAACAAATAAAATGAAGCAATTTTAAACTAATTTGAGGATTTGCATGTCTTAGGAAAGCCTCTGAACTCCCAAATGCTTGCTAGAAAGATTTTTTTTTTCAGGTTACATTTTGCTGTTTTGACTCATTTTCTAGAAAATGTAAATTTCCAAATAAACATCTAAGAATAATATCATTTATTTTGGACTTACCACAAATTACAAAATGCTATAGTATAAGTCAACCTAAACATTTAAAATGCACTAAAAAGTCATGCTTTGGCTTATAATTACCAATTTTAACTTGCCCTCAACGTGCACTCTGTAATTTTAAAATTCACTACTATTCTCTGGTGCCAATTACTCTATTAACTGATGCAAAAGGTCACAGCAAGACATACTCATTCATTCACAAACTGAGTGACATCTACATGCCAGGTACTATATACTAGGCCTTGGTACATTCTTAGTAGTAAAAGTTTAATTTACCTTCTATAACATCCAGTATGGCAATTATTTTCAAATATTAAGTACAGTGCTATCGTTACCTTGATATTAATGTTTTTTTTGCTTAGTAAGTTTCTAGAATAGAGAGCTTATACATATCATAGAAGAATTTTACTTACCAATTCTTGTGCTGAATTAGCTTTATTAATTTTAATTTGACATAAAAGATTTATCCTTGCAAAGTTGCCTGATAAATGCCAAGAAAGTGTAACAGCATTTGAATTAATATCCTTCACTTTGAATAAAGTAGGAGTATGTGGAGAAACTGTAAATAGAATTTTTTAAAGAGTGATTTATTTACAAGTGAAAACTGTAACTATGCTAAGTCCTAACTCGTAATACAATAAATGAGAATTGAAAAAAACAAAAAAACAAGAAGAAAAGAAATATTCTACCAGGTATCTATGAAATCCACAAACCTCAGTATTGCTGTTGACATCTTGCCAATGTTTTTAAAGAACCCAATCACACTCAAGGTTCTTCTTTTGGTTTTGGGCATACAGAAAAGATAGTAAGATCACAGTCTCCACCTTTAAGGAACTTCTAATGTTCAAAAGAATAACAAAAATCCCAGAATACTGAAAACATTCTAAGTCCATGGTGCAGATGCTAGCTGCCACAGGAATTTAAATGCAGCATGGTGGAGAAAGTCTTACAGTGAAGGTATAATTTAAGTCAAGCATCAAAGGAAGCAGCACACTAAAACTGGCCAGAAGAATGCAGAAATGGAATGCACGTTGGAGTCTTGACAAGATTACAGGTACAATGAGGCACAACGTACATTATACTGGTGAATGTACATAGGTCAATCTGAGTGATAGAAAAGAATCTCATGGGAAACATTAGCAACATGACAGGGAGCAGACAAATACACTCTTTTTGAACTATAAAATGCAGCTTTCTGATCCTGGAAGAAATCAGGAAACAAATATGACAGGAAGGAATGAGAAGAAAAAAATACACACACACACACAAACACCTATGTACTTTTTATATATTTGTATATATTCATATTTTATACATTATGTATTATTGTACTATATATTTATTTTATATATATTTTTTAATTAATTAAAAAAAATTTTTTTAAAACAGGGTCTCACTACGTGGTTCAGACTGCCCTGGAACTCACTATGTATCACACACAGGACAGGCTCGAGCTTGCAGTGATCCTACTGCCTCAGCCTCACAAGTGCTGGGATTACAGGGGTGCACCACCACACCCAGCATTGAAATCCACTTATATTTGATAGCGGGGCTACTCACTTACTGGCTGTATAATAACATACTTGGTATAAGTCATTTCTCCTCTGAATGTCAGTCTCTAAAGGAGATCTCTGTGCTCCTGCTCAGTGTGATGCTGAACCTGGCCAGGAATCAATGCATGTGTTCTAATCACAGCAATGAATACCAAAAGGATCAACTGCATTTTACTTCTATTTTCAATTATCCATAAATGTGGTTGGTAAAAATTTCAGAAATCATCAGTACAAAAGCAATGAACTACTGATAATGTCCAACACTTTGGATGGCCCTCAAAGACATTATATTTAGTGAAAGAAGCCAACCTCAAAAGGTTATAGACTATATAATTTCATTTATGTAATACTCTGAAAATGACAAAACAGATGAAGAACAGTTAGTTGTTGCCAAGACTGGATTCAGTTTTGTGTTCCTATGTAGTTTATCTATGTAAAGATTCACAAAGGAACTTCCTCATGTTGCCCCTTCATCACACACACACACACACACACACACACACACACACACACAGAAAAAAACAACTGAGAAAGAGGAGTAGTCTAGTTCAGTAATCCAGGTACGGTATTACACCAGGGTTAATTTTCTGGTGTTGATACTGTGCTAATCACACAAAATGTCAGCCCTGGGGAAAGCCAGGGGAATGGCTTCAAGGTTCTAATTTATTGTTTTTACATCAAACACTATTTTAAAATAAAAGTTTTTAAAAACTATGCAAATTTTTTTTTCAGAAATCAAGACCTATTAGAAAAAACCACTTATAGTTTCCATGTAAATGAGTAATTCAAATTTTTATTTAAATTCAGAAAATGCTAAAACTTGAAGCTATTCATTTTTAAACTTTTAGGATAAAATTTATAAATTTAGTATTAACTAACTCTAGAAAAAAATAATCAGACTGATCCCTAAACGCAGTTCTCATTAATCCCCAGCACTCTGCCACTCTCCTTTATTTCTAAGACCCTGCCTGATGCAGGAGCACCCTACCTCGTTCAGTGATGTTAATGAGTATTGTTGATTCTGATTGCCCAAGAGGATTGTGACCACTCAGAGTAAAATTATATATTTCTTGACTTGGAATCATCTTAAAGCATACCCGATAACTTTCATTTGTAGGTACTTCACCATTTTTAAATCTAACAGATTTTCCTGAAAAACTGGGTTAAAAGAAAAACAATTTCAAAATGACAAGATACAAATATTTCAGAAGAAATGGATAAATTTCTAACAATGAATCCTTATAAGTTTATATTTTTAATTAAAAACATATTACATACTCAGAGAAGAAACTGTGCATGATATAGAAAATAATCAGCCATAAGCCCACCACCCAGAAATAGATTCTGTCCATATCTGAGGTTCTTCCTTCTAGATTTTTAAAAGATACGATATTGACTCTACACGTGGTCAAGCTGCAGTTTTCATAGTACGTACGATTCTATATAGCACATTCAGTTTCATATCTAAACTCATAACAGGGATGAATTAGAGCATTTCTCTATGTCACTTACATGTGTTTCTAAAGTTCTTGCCATCTAACATCCTTTCCTGGTTATCATTACCTTTCAAATAAAGTGTAATTCGTACTTCGTGGGCCCACCAATGCTGTTGGTCTTCCTGGATTCCAACTACATACAATTTCTTCTAAATCATGTGTTTCACAATTCAGTTTTTGAGGAACATCAGGTGGATCTAAAGAAATAAAATGTAGTTATACATGATTAAATGTTTTTCCTGTTGATGCAGTATTTCACAAAATGGTAACATTTTGTACCATTTCCTTAAAGAAATCATTTACTAGTTATATTTTACTTTTGAACAACACATAAATTATTCTTCACAGCATGTTTTGTCACAATTCTTAATATATTAGAAATGCTAGATTCAAATATATTAAAAAGTGACTCTTCATTTGGAAATTCCCAATATCAATTTCAGAAATCAAAAACCATTTTCCTTTAAATCCTATTTCAGAATGTACAAATCTCTCAAACCTAGGTAAAAAAAGTACACTTTAAAATATTTCCACTTATCATCTGTATATTCTGATTTGTAAACAGGTATCAATCACATTAGAAGTAAATATATGTTACTACTATGGTTTATATGTGGTCTCACGTATTTGGAAGGTGACTGGATCATGGAGCACTATACTCATAAATTCATTAGTCTGCTAATGATGAGTTCATAGCTGACTTCTTCACAGGGAGCTGGGGCATAGTTAAGCCAGGTCATTGGAGCTTGATCTGGAAGGATATATTTCCCACACTATTCCTTTTTTCTCTCTCCTTCCCAGCCACTACGGCCCAAGCAGGTTTCCTCCACTGGGCCCTTGCTCTTTGCTTCCTGGCCACCATCATGTAAGCAGCTTTCCTTGGTGGCAGGCCCTTCCACCAAGTCATTTCTATATATGATCCTGCCAATTCCAGACTGGAACGGAGCCAAAATAAACCTCTCCTCCTTTAAATTGGGGATGTCAAGTATTTTGTCTCAGCCACAAGAAAGTGACTAAGACAGATTTTGGTACTAAGAGTACAGTGGTTTTCCCAACTATACTTGACCATGTGGTTTAGAAACCTTTGGAACTGGTTTTCAGGAGGAGTATGGAAAGGTCAGGAGATACCGGCTAGGGAAGTCCTAGAATGCTGTAATCCAAGCCTGATGTGAAATTCTGGTCAGAGGTCAGAAGACCAGAATGCTGATAGAAATGTGCACAGTAAAGACCAGGCTCAGAAGGTTTCAGCTGGGAATAAGGATACCACTGCAGTTAGACCAGAGGCTATGTGGGTTATTTTCTGGCAGAATATTTGTCCACATCGTGCCCATGTTCTGAGACTTTGCAGGAGACAGAGATTAAGAGCAGTGGACTAATCTGGTGGAGGAAATTTCAAGGCAGCCTAATGATCAGGCCGTGGCATGGGCACTGCTGGTAGCTTTTAGTCAGTTTTTGAGTGAAAAACAGCTGCAATCATTCCATTTAAAAATTTTGTTTTCTCAGAAAGAAAGCCCCTGTACATTAGAGCAAAGGAGAGCAAGACTGCTAAAAAGATTTACATTAAAAAGAATCCAAGTACAATCATAAAGACAATAGGAAAGATGGCTTGAGGGCATCTCAGAATCAATAAGATGCTACCTTTCACATGGTTAAAGGTTCAAAAGTTAAAGACTTTGCTTTGAGGAAAGAGTGCCAGGGAATGCAGCTCATTTAGGGCAAATTAGGAAAGTGTTTCCCAGAGTTCAGCTATCTAATGAAGCACTCAGAGGCTGCTGCAGCCATTATTTAAGGGGCCTGACTATTGCTTGAGCTGGAGGTAGACCTTGGTATTATTACCCAGACGGTTCCAGTTTTATGGGTAGGCACAGTGCAAGTGCTGTGGGGGTGCAGGAGGCTTCAATCCAAACTTCAAAAGAAGACCTGGGAAGTCAGCCAGTGTGTCTCCTAGAGGGCAGTGTGTGACCCTATCAGAGTGAAGCCAAAAGTGTAGTGAAGAACCCAGGAAGTTGGAGAAACCACGAACATGGAATGTCTGCCAAGGAAAGCTGTAGGTGGCAAGTAAAGCCAAGACAGAGAGAGACCATGAGGGTTGCAATCAGCAATGCTGTAGGAAGGAGGGCTGCCCAAGCTGTAGCTCACATCTCATCACAATTTGCTCTGTGTGCTGGACATAATGCTACAGGACTTAGTATTTCCCAGTGTGGGTTTTGGTATTGCCTTGGTTCAATTTCTTCCTAATTTCCCATTTCTCCCTTTTGAAATGGGAATGTTTACCTTGCCATTCTATGTTGACAGTGTTCAGCTTTCTTTATTTTTTTCAGGGGTTCACAACTAAAAGTCTACCTTGAGTGTCAAAAGAGATTTTGGATTCGGACTTTTTAACAATACTGGAATTGTTAAAATTTTGCTGACTTAAGAGGTAGACTAAATGTATTTGCATAAAGAGATGGACCTGAGTCTTTTGGAGCCAGGGAAAGAACACTATGGTTTAGATGTAGGTAGTTCATCAAAAGGTGTTTAGATGGTGATTGGATCATGGGCACTGTATCATGAGAGGATCAGCACACTGATCCACCCTTCCTCCTTTAGTTAGGGAGTTGGGTATTATGTCTCAGCAATGGGAAAGTAAAGTGACTAAGCCAGTTGCAAAATCTCCCCTCTAGCTTTGCTAGGGCAGATTAGAAAAAGAAAAAAAAAAAAAAAAAAAAAAAGATTTGGTTT